CCTCCTGGTCTATGTTCAGGTTCCTCATGAGTACAATTAAGTGTTCTGGAATTCCCATTCTTCTCAATGTTATCCACAATTTGTTATGATCCACACAGTCAAATGCCTTTGCATAGTCAATAAAACACAAGTAAATATCTTTCTGGTATTCTTTGCTTTGAGCCCAATCCATCTGACAGTAGCTATGATATCCTTCACTCCATGTCCCCTTCTGAATCTAGCTTGCATTTCTGGAAGTTCTCTGTCAATATACTGCTGCAACCATTTCTGAATGATCTTCAGCAAGACTTTCCTTGCGTGTGATATCAATGATATTGTTCAGTAATTTTCACATTCTGTAGCATCACCTTTCTTTGGAATGGGTACAAATATGGATCTCTTCCAGTCAGTTGGCCAGGTACCTGTCTTCCAAATCTCTTGGGATAGCTGAGTGAGTGCCTCCAGCACAGCATGTGCTTGTTGAAACATCCCAATGGGTATTCCGTCAATTCCTGGCACCTTGTTTTTTGCCAACTCCTTCAGCGCAGCTTCAACTTCTTCTTTCAATACCACTGGTTCTTGATCATATGCCACCTCCTGAAATGGATGATCATCTACAAATTCTTTTTGGTATAGTGACTCTGTGTATTCCCTCCATTTTTCTTTTGATGTTTCCTGCATCATTCAACATATTGCCCATGGAATCCTTCCTGGAATATTGCAATTCCAGGCTTAATTTTTTACCTCAGTTCTTTCAGCTTGAGAATGCCAAGCGTGTTCTTCCCTTTTGTTTTTCTAACTCCAGGTCTTTGCCCATTTCATCATAATAATGAACTCTGTCTGCTCAAGCTGTTCTTTGAAATCTTCTGTTCAGCTCCTTCATCCTGTCAATTCTTCCATCCGCTTTAGCTACTCTCCATTCAAGGGCAAGTTTCAGAGTCTCTTCTGACATCCATTTTGGTCTTTTCTTCCTTTCTTGCTTTTTTAATAACGTTTTGCTTTCTTCGTGGATGATGTTCTTGATGTCATCCCACAATTCCTCTGGTTTTTGGTCATTGGTGTTGTTCAGTGTATCAAGTCTATCCTTTGTATGGTCTCTAAATTCAGAAGAGATATAATCAAGGTCATATTTTGGCTCCTATGGACTTCCTTTAATTGTCTTCAGCTTCAACTTGAACTTGCATATGAGCAGTTGATGGTCTGTCTGTTCCACAGTCAGTTCCTGGCCTTGTTTTGGCTGAAAATATTGAGCTTCTCCACCACCTCTTGCCACAGATGTAGTAAATCTAATTCCTGTGTATTCCGTCTGGTGAGGTCCACGTGTATAGCCACCATTTGTGCTGTTGTTTTCAATGAATAAGTCATTGGTCTTCCAAAAATCTATCATGTGATCTCCAGCAACATTTCTATCACCAAGACCATATTTTCCAACTGCCGGTGATTCTTCTTTGTTTCCAACTTTTGCATTCCAATCACCAGTGACAATTAACACATCCTGATTGCATGTTTGGTCAATTTCAGACTGTAGAAGTTGGTAAAAATCTTCAATTTCATCTTCGGCTTTGGTGTTTGGTGCGTAAATTTGAATAATAGTACTATTAACTGGTATTCCTTGTAGGCATATGGATATTATTCTACCACTGACAGCACTGTACTTCAGGATAGATTCTCATATATAACCAGCTAATAAAATTTAATGAGATAAGTATTAAAATGTAATATAAATTAAAAAGTTTTATAATCAAAAAGTATGTTATACCTGCATTTTGTGTATCTGAAAATAATTTACTGTTCTTCCTAAATAAGCTGAAGGTTATACCACTGCCACCCTTACAATGACAGGGCTGGGGACCCTCCAGAAGATCACATGTCATTAAACTGTCAAGTTGTTTAAGCAGATTATGTAAGGAATTTGAGGAGAGAAAAATCTGGTTTTGGATCTGTTATTTTTTTGTGAATAATTGAGAATTTATTGTTTTTTTTTTTTAAAGAGTAGATTTCAATGGTGAATTAATATCGTCACTCTCTTTCACTATCAAGCTCCCTAGCTTGATGACAAATTATTGTAGTGTAGTGCCTAAGGCACTTGACTGTTAACCAGAAGGCTGGTGGTTCAAACCCACCAGCCATTCCTCGGAAGGAAGGTTGGGCAATCTACTTCTGTAGTGATACTGCCTTGGAAACCCAAGGAGGTCTGACTCAACGGCACATAACAACAACAACAACAACACTCAACATCTGTTTGATCAGGACTAGAATTAAAGACACCACTATGTTCCTTTTCACCAGGACACAAAGTAAGCCAGTCAAGTGATAAGGAGGATGTGACAGCTTCTGAAAATTATGGCTGACTTTGCTTAAGCCATACAAGTTAAGACTGTCAATCTGCTGAACTATTTTTAAAAAATCTCACTTGAGGGAGTTCCGGCAAGATGGCGGACTAGGCAGAGAGACTGCACAGACCCTCTTCAACAAAGAAAAGGGAAACTAATTAACACAGACACAGAAGATAATCCTGGACCCTAAGCCTTGAAGGGAAGGATGTAGAAGCAGACTAAACCCCAACTAGCAGAAGAATTTGCGTGAAAATACCAAAAAAGGAGACATATGGAGCTGTGGTCTGGCAGTGGTCGTGAGCGATCCTGACAGCACAGACAACTTGGAGATTCCCGAGTGGTGGTAGGACTTAAGAATTAACCTAAAAATCACCCTGCTAGCCAGGGACTGCACGGAGGACTGTGCACAGTGGCT